GCCTCGAATCAGGCCTTCGTCTTGTCGCTCATCTTCGACAAGTCCACGCTCATGATCGCAAGGGCCACCTCCTTCGCTTTGGTGGCGGCATTGGTGGCCTCGATGTCGAGCTGCCTCTGCCTGGCCTTGACGTTGTCGGCCTCGATGTCGAGCTGCCTTTGCCGAGCGGCCTCTTCCATGTCGAGCTGCCTTTGCCGGGCCGCCTCCTCCATGTCTATCTTCCTCTTCTTGGCCGCCTCCTCCATCTCAAGCTTCTGTCTTTGGAGGTCTAGGTATTGCTTCATTTGCTCGTCCTTACTTTGTCGCTTCTTCTCGTCCCTCACATCCTTATGTGACATCATGCCATGCAAAGTCTCATGCAAGGCCATGGTTGAGGCGTCACGTATGTCGTCCACCTTGGAGTTGGTCTTGCCCCTCGGCCTCTTCAACGCCTCGCCATCCCCACTTCCGGCGAACTTGGCCGTTTTCTTGCCTCTCTTCCTTTGAAGTTCACGGTATTGATCCTTGAACTTAGGGCAATTGTTGATGAGCGTCCAACAATGCGTAAGAGTGAATGGCTTGTCATTATGCCGGGCCTTGAATGCCTCCAAAGATTGAAATGCCTACACCACATGATCAACAACAAGTGAATATGCAAACATATATACGGCCGAAGTATCATGGCCGTAGCAAGGAAAGGGCTAGAAAGAGAAGAGCATACCATGTCCCCAACGCCGAGACCACTCACGGGCCGTGCTTCAATGCTCTCAAATGCGGCACAATACTTGTTGCACTCTTGTTGGATAAACAACCATCTTTTTTGAATCGAACCGATGCCACGGTTGCTTGTAATTTGGCAGGGCTCAAACATCTTCCTTTCATGGAATGTTTTGTGGACTCTCGTCCAAAAAAACAATGCCCTTTTGTTGCGCGCCGGTCCTTGGATCTTGACTAATCTCCATCCAACATTGACAAATCAACTTGTCCTCATCTTGTGTATATGAACCGGTACGAATGCTCTTCCGCTTCTTTTGTGCTTCCGCTCTTTGGGTGAGCTCGTCTATGAACAATGGAGCGCCACTAATATCAACATCATTGGCTTCATCTTCATCTTCACCTTCGACATAGATGTCGTCGTCTTCATGCCACGAATCACCATGGTCGTAGTCAGCACGGTCGTTGGCCTCCTCATCGGGCACGTAATGGGCGTGGCCATCCTGACTTTGGGTCTCCTCGGGGTCGTAGGCACGGCCATGCCCACCATGGAAGATCACGTCCTCCATGTACTGGTTGTAGAAGGGGTCGTCCACCGTCGGCGTTGAGGTTGGCATTCCGTCAAACAACACGCGGGGGGGCCGGCATGGTGCCCGTGAACGGTGCACGCGCCTGCTTTCTTTGCATCTCGACGGACGGCCGCCCGCCGCTGCTGGACCCAGGCGTGACGTTGAGGTCGATGACAGCCGCGGGGCGTGGTGTGGACGGCGCGAACAAGCCCACGTCCGGCGACGCCGAGAAACGGGTCTGACCGTCGTGCCTGGGCGGAGGAAAGCCGGGCGACATGGGCGCGGCGCGCGACGTCGGCGACTGGCAGTGCGTAGGCCGGGCGACCGACGAGCCTGTGCTCGCCGGGCCGACGGCCGCTGCATGGAACCCCGCCGGACGGCCCATGCCAAGCATGAGGATGGCGTGCGCTTTATTGACGAGGTCCTCCTTCTCGTCGGCAGCGGCCTTGCGCCACGCGGCCTCCAGCTCCTCGCGCTGGGCGGCTAACTTGGCCGCAGCGGCATTGATCTTGACGGCCGCTCTCCGTTCCCTCCTCTTCGCCGATTCCGCGTTCAACTTGGCGATCTCCTCCGGCGTGCACTCCGACCGCGGCTTCCTTGGCGCCTTCTTCTTCACCTTTGCGGTCGGGTCGACGGCCAGGCCGCCGGAACTCGGCGGGGTGTCGGCCATGGACGGGGGAGAGAGGGGGCGGCGGGAGGGACGTGGGAGGGTTTTGGGGAAATGGCGCCAAATGGGCGTGGGGGAGGGGGTTTGGTTTCTCCCACCGACAGGCGGGCCAGGGGAGGACAAGCGCGCGTCCCGCCCGTCCGCGCGCTGTCCGTTTCACCCCAAAACCGGCACAACTTTGGGTCGGGGATGGGTCGAAAGCGGACACAAAGCGGACAAAAGTCCGTTTGCGCCCGCGCGCTGGACCGTCTCGTTTGTCCTTTTTATCCCAAACTGACGGAAATGGACAAGATAGAGTCACGCGATGAAGTTGGCCTCAGATACTTTTGAAATCCGGGAGAGAGAGAGAACGCCAGAACGGGCAGACGTCGCGGGCAAAGCAACGTCTCATCCACCGGCCGCAACGCCGTGATGCCAACATATTTCAATTTCTCCTGCTAACCCACGCTTTCTGCGTGCGTGCTCCTGAATATCACTCTTCTGCCTCTAGTCACATCTTTTTTTTGGCGGGAAAACATCCAATCTATTTATCTTCTTGTAACGCTTTTTCTGATCAATGAATTTGACAGTTTTTTTGCCAACGTTAAAAAAAAAATAGTACAATGAACACCGGAAATAATAAAAATTGCATCTAGATTCATAGACCACCTTGCGACGACTACACGCACTGAAGCGAGCCGAAGGCACGCCGCCGTCATCGTCCCTCCCTCACTGGAGCCGGACAAAACTTGTTGTAATAAACAGTCGAAAAGTCGTCGTGCTAAGGCCCCATAGGACCAGCACACCAGAACGGCAATCGCCGCCGATGAATAACATAGGTCGGAGGGATCTAACTTGAAGACACAAAACGTAGACGGATGACAAACAAATCCGAGCAAATCCACCAGAAGCAGATCCATCAGAGACACACCTCCACACGTCCACCAACGATACTAGACGCACCACCAGAATAGGGGCTAGGCGGGAGAACCTTATTTCATTTTCAAGGAGCCGCCGCCGCCTCGTCTTCCTAAGTAGGATACAAAATCTAACAAAACTCAAAAACACATATAAAAACAAAGCCCTCCCACCGGCAAAGCCCGGGATCCACTGCACCCCCATGGCCCTAAGGCCACAGGAGACAAGGCGGATCAAAGGCGCCGGCGGGAAGCGAAGGAACCCTAATTTTCCAGGGAGGAGACGGCTGCGTGGAGAAGTTCTCTAGTCACATCTTTAATGTTGACCCGCAAATTTGCTCCCGTATCGGTCCACGGACAAAGGACCAATATGTGAACACGAATGCAGGAGCCGGCCATTCGATACTACTAACATATATTTGAAACCGCATTTCAACAGACCGGACAAAATTCATGCAAACCCAAATGGAAATCATCAAAGTTCGGCTATAAAATATCACAAATCATCCATACATAGCATGCAAATAAGTTTAGTACATCAAACTCGACGAGATTAACCGGATGTTCAAAAAGTTTTTCATGAACGGATCATTTCATCCCACACATACTGCCCCTTCAACTTCACCCAACGGTGTATGCACCTAAATGGCAATCCCTCTATCCCGTGGTACGTCACAGGAGCGCTACGGGCTACACAATGTGCAAAGTAACATTGAGTGAATGGATGATTCACTCGACAAGTTGAGCAAGAAGAAGCAAAACTTACGGTCTCCTCCGCTGCCGCGTGCAATGGCCATCTTGCCTCTAGCCGAGCAACCGTGTCACAAAACTTGGTGACGGTGGTCTAGATGGCGTACCATCGATACGATAACAACCTCACATTTGCGTTGTTGGATGATGAGTGTCGTAGGGCGCAATGTGCTTTCATGCGTGAAACAAATCATACACGCGCTACCAGAAGAGCCCCCTTCTGTGCGTGCCTACGAAATCCGTGAATACAGCCAACCACGCATCACACAACAATTCATCCTCCATGGTCAAGTACCCCGCCATCCTTCATACTCTACAAAAACGACATGACGTTTGAAAATTGGCACAATGGTATTTTACCGAACACCTGCCAGGCGTGGTGTTCGCCATGGACGGGGGAGAAGTGTATCTGGCCACGGACGGACCCTGGGTGGACGACACCATCATAAAAGGCAAGCGGGCGTGTCGATGCCAGTTGCGGAGGCCCGGCAATGCCTGTGTGGCGGCTAGAGACGTACAACGGTGGCATCGTCAGAGGAGGGAGAAGGGGCAGATCAGAAGAAAATAGGCCCGGAGAAGGGATTTAGTGGGTCAGGGTGTAGGACTCCTACATGGCTGCACACCCTCCTACATGGCTGCTGTTCGAACTCGCACAAAGCACCCCCCAGCTTTGCTTTCAATTTGCCAGAAAAAAAGTGACCACTCTGCAGCGGACGATGGGAGAACAGTCCGCACGTATGCAAATGGTTCGAGGGTCAGCGTTGCTTAGGCAATAAAATTTAGTCCAAAGGTACAGTGAAATAAAACTGGCGACCCTTTCGAAAGATAGAATACATGCTTTATTGCTATTTGCAGTGTACACAACTACTTACTACACATCAATTTGGAAACACCACAACAGCAGCCTCACAACTGTTCGAATATAATAACATCCTCCCAAACCGCCGAGACCAAAAACAGGAGAAAAGAATGGACTCCAAAATTCTCTTCATGAATTCATGAGGCCTTAAATGTACACAAGTTGATCGAGACGCACCAAAAATGGTGAGCTGGTATCAGTACAAAGCTGCACTTGCTCTCTCCGATACGCCTTCAAATTGCACGCAGAAAACACGTAGAAAAAGCATCTGATTCCCCCTAGTATCAGCGCCTCCTCCATCTCTACAGGCTGGAAGCAGGCCGCGTCGTCAGATCTGCTTGAGCTTCTCCCCGAATGCCCACCGATCAAATAAAATGTAAGAGGCATGCATGGATGTGCTGACCATCGACAGGCCAACTATGTGTCATCATTCTGTAAGCAACAGATTCCCAATGACAGATCTCACCCATCAGCGGTGGTGATGCCATTATCTTGTTATGTGCATTTTCGTTTGTTGATGTATAAGAGGACGTATGGACTCGAGGCCTTCATTCACACTACTTTGACTATGAATCATATCGGGCCCCAGATGTGAAAGATGAGAAGAACCCAGCTGCTGGTCCAGGAAGAATGTCGCTCAGCCCTACCTGGCCATCAGAGAGCATGGAACCCCATCTAGATGTGTTCTCCCCAAATTTGCTCCCAACCTGATATAAAAACATTGTATGGATATGTTTAGCTGGGCATTGCTGCTTTTCAATTAGACAGAAATTCCATATCTAAAACCTAGTCGACAGCCTTGATGAAGGGAGAACAAAACATTTTAATTTAATAACCAGTATACAAACTGAACACAGCATCCTTCCAGTTCTGCCTACCAAACTGGACCTAACGAAATTCAACCATATAGAAAAGACAAGGTTGACTTGATACAAATAGTATGTGCTAGTGACACTCAATACATGAATCCATATGATGTCCATAATTCTCTTTACGTGCTTAACTGAATTAACTTTGACATATAGGGCTACATTTATGAGAACCTACACCATGCATTATCACCATTGGCTAGTTTCACTACAACTTTTAAATTTAAGAGCCAACAAAAAAGGGTGAAAAAACATATGGCTGGTTACTTTACCTGCGTAACAAAGGACTTGAGCAATGGAGCTGCACTTCCAAGACTTGCATTATTATCATATTCTGATATGGTAGATCTTTCCCCATTTGAATATGATGATTTCCAAGGGTTCCTAGATGTTGAATCATCAGATGGCGACTGTAGTGATGACTTGGGTGTTCTTGATGCTAGAGCTGGGGCACTGCAAGCGGAAAAGGTGAATAGGGAAGCAGTTAGTCTAAAAACTAGCATATTTGTTCATTACAGCCAAATCACACAACGAAAAATAAGAAACACCCACCAGAGGCCCAAAATAACAATCAGAAAAATATAGTAACAACTATCCATTAGGCCATCCTACAGGCAGAAGCCAGACTGAAAACATATCTTTGACAATTGACCATGAGTGTTTTGTCAATTTTATAGCTGACCCTGCGTAATAAGCTAGAGGATAGTATCCACTTAATTAATAAGAAAACAATGACTTAAAACCTGTCATGTGACCACAAGGTATATAATTAATTTCATCCAGATGTTATGACTAATGACTGCAACATTGGTACGTCAGACAAGTATATGCCATACAGATGTCTGTTATTGACATTTTAGCAAACTAGTTTATGCAAATTGGCACCAAAGAGCGGTTTGTACTCGTTGGTGCACAATACGGAAAACCCCATGTGACACCATTCACAACAACTCAACTGTATGCAGTATGACAGTACGCACCCCAGGATGTAGGCATTCAACTTCTATTATTTATATTAATTATCACTACTATTAATAATATCATCTCATAAAAAATTTGAAGGATAACACAATGATGTGTCGGAAATTAACAAACTAAGATATTATAAAAGATGCACCATGCTCTCTCTAAAAACTGGACCATGGAACTAACAATTGTACGTTTACAGGTTAGACAGAACAATTGTTTACCTGATTGGTAGGTACTTGAATCTTGGAACCTGGGAGCACCTCATAATATTTGAATCTGTATTTGTTTTTGTTGGTAACTTCTGTGCCGCACCAGTATACATGTGATTCAGTTGAACCAAGAAACCAAAAAGAACAACGCAGCGCTTGTAAGATTGCTTCTCATTCTCCCATAAGTAAGATTCATACCTGTTACAAGGGAGAGACATGTTTCATTTTTTTAGTACATCGATCATATACATGTACAGCAATTTCAAACAGAAAAATTACTTACGTAGCCCAATCTATTGGATCCAATCTCTGCGAGAATTTATTGATCAGCTTGTTTATAGGCTCTATGGTAGCTGAATCTGCCTGGAATTGTGATTGTTTTCTCCTGAAGGTAGTCTTAGCATTGTCCTGTTTTATCTTTGTTTCAGAAGGATTGGCCGAAGAGTTTTTGCCTCCGGATAGGATATCACCAATGAAACGAAGATCTAGCAGTATTTGCAGAACTCCTTTTTCTGAAACCTGCGAGTTACTTGATTCGATAGATGCCAAAAAGTTTTCGTAGATACTGATAACCTACATGAGTTTAACCAGATGTTAGGTCCAATGATTACATTTCTCGAAATAAAAGGGCCCAATGATTACATTGGCTTTAAGTCCTATAGCACACTTTTCGTATTCAAACTTCAACAACACAGCTAGAGATGGAAAAGGTGATAATTGACACAAATATTTGGATAAACAATCAGGTTTCGACTTGGTCACCAGTCCTTATCGTTGAAATATTGACGTGAGTCGGATGATGTATGCAGGCAAAATAAGTTCACAAGTCACGATATCAAATAATCAACATTGTATTTGTTTAGTGCTCAGGGTCATCCAGATACACAAGCGTCTAGAGTGGAGACATAGTGACCAACCAAATCACAGCTTGATCACAAGGGAATCAGCTGAAACTATGAACTTTAATCAAGTTATTATCCAAATTTGACATAGTATATATCCCTATGAATGTCATTATGGTGTGACAAACATTTATGTGAACTCCAAGATATATGCCTATAGGCTATAGCTATAGCTATTAGTACTGCCTATTTTCATTAATGCTGTTGAGTAGGTAATGAACTTTAGAGTTATATCATTGCACCAAAGCGTTGTTATTGCAGGGGTTTTGCAGAAGGAGGCTTTATATCAGTACATTGTTGAACAAATGCTACCCTGGAACATTACACTAAATGACTGACCTGTGTGTTATGCATTGGTCGCATTACTTCCTCAAAACTATTTCCCTCTTGTTATAAGACTTTTGAGGAGGCAGACACAAAACATGATGGAAAATTGACAAAGAAGAATGGTGCAATCTAGTTCTTAGACATCCCTCATTACTGAAGAACATAACACCCCAATATCTCAAGTAAGATACGCTAATGTATTTGTTGATAATTAACTATTTACTTTTGATCAGCTTATTGTGCTCAAGTTGATTGAAATCTGAGGGGTTCAGAATTAATAATAGTATCAAGTATCCTTGAATTATATTGCCAAAATACATATACATTATCTCATAGAGCCACGTCTTTAGTAATACTGTCACGCAATAAAGAAGCATGCTATTATTCAGCTATAAAGTGAAAACCAGCAAACAGAAAATGCAACATTGATTAGTTAAACAATAGTTTTGTCATGCTTAGCTTCTGGGCCAAGAACACAACTAGGGAAGGTAGTTACAGAATTCAACAATAAGCGCTAACAAACACAATAAGTAACTGTTTTTTATGCAGATGCATGGTAAAACAGCTTAGGTACAAATGCCGCAAATAATTCTTTGGTTCTTGGCTTGAAAAATCTTTGGTTCTTGGCTTGAAATAATGAAGTATCAGAACAATAATGAAGTGTTATGCATCTTGACAAATTGTTACCATATAACATACCTTCTGTAGTAAATCCCAGGCAAATTTATGCAATATAATTCTTTCCAGGATGTGCCCTCCAATTTTATGAATCTCCAGACATGCTTGGTAAAGAAAGGATATAATGTACAGTGAAGGCATTGATGGAAGAGCTATTTGCATCTCCAAGGGACCATCGGTAGGTTCCTCTTGTTTGATGACTGTAACTTCCCATCCCTGACAAGGAAACCATACAGTGTAATTAAAACGACCAGCACTACATATCTATGTGAATACATAAACAAGATAAGATGTCCCCTTTTTACAATAAAATAGATGGAGCAACAGAGTGATGCTGAAATCTTTAAAAAGGATGTAACCCCTGAATATATACAAACCCACTCCAAAGTACAACTATGGCCAAAACAATTATTTAGCGTCTAGAAAAGGTGTGCCTTTACGTATCAACCTATCAAACATCCTATGAGATACTACTCTAAAAGTGTGGTTCTACCGACAGGCAAATTCCTCTTGTTCGATAAATTCTGCAATATATCACTTAATCAGAGAGAATGCCCTGCCTCAGTCATGTCCAGTAGGTTTACAATTGTTATTGTTATGTGTCACTAATGTTGCTCTAGATATATATATCTTCATACCTCGCTAAAGTTTCCCCTAATAAAAATATGAATAGCATGAAATGACGTGACTAGTTAGTAGATACGGCAGTGTGATATATACTAAGAATGATCAAATGATTCAAACAACAAATAAAAAATGAGCGACACTGAGGGTGTACCCTTAAAGGAGTTGATGAGGATAATGAATCATCTCTATTTAGAGCATATGAAAGAAGGTCTGATAATTCGGCAGACACCCATGTTATCCACAAAATGTGAGCCGTAATGCACAGTGCCTTTAGGGTCTTATTGAGTTCATCAAGTCTGGGATTGGAGCTATCATCAGCACCAAACAAGGAAGCAGCAGCAGCAGCAATAGATTGTCTTCTGGGGCTTTCAGAAAATTGCCTTCCAGGACTCCTAGGGCTGTCAAATTGTCTTCTGGGGGTAAAAGGTGATGACGACTCAAAAGATGCTCTTGAATGTCTTGGCGTGGGCGATGATAACCTGGCAAATGCTGCACCACCAGAATCCTTTACCCACTGCCTTGGGGAGCTTAGTATCAGGGGTACATGACTTGAATGATATCTCAATGCAAACAAGAGGCGGCCAATGAAGAGAGACCGCTCCACAATAACAGATGCAGCAGGCACGTTGTCATCCCCCTTTTTCGTTCCCAATGCATCAGAAAGGTTTCCAAGTTCGGCTTCTAATTTGTTCAGTACTCCCAAGATGGTCTTATAGCATTTCTCCTGGATGTATGGCACCAACTCCTTCAATCTCTGAACTGAATTGTGTGACTCAACAAAGCTTAAAAGGTCCTCAAGAATACTCTTGCATTTGCCGTCAATTGCATTCTTGATGCGACTAACTTCCGGCCCGAAATACGAGGCTAGGCAGCTGTGGAAGTCGTTCTCGTCAGCAATTGGTTTCAAATGTGCCAAAATTCCACCTTTCTTGATCTTAGATTCTGAGAACCATACGCTGCCCCCAGTCGAAGCTTTTTGCACATGCACCAGGAAATCAGCAGCATCCTTAGGACCAGCATTCGCACCAATAGCCTGAATCGATTCCATCACATTAACACTACCAGCCAAGCTATCAAACTCTGAATGCACAATGTCCTTCATCCGTTGCACAAATGCTTCCTCCATCCAGTCCTCAAAAATATCCTTCCCTTCTTTCAGGATTAACCCACGGATTTGATCCCATGGGGATTCAATCTCTGATCCAAACACACTCTTCAGCCACTGCTCCAAACTCCCTTCCAGTCCTGCTCTGTCATCTAGTTTCTCACGAATGAGCCTTTGCGCCGAGCCAAGTCCCTCCCCACTCCCGATGGCATCAACTAGCCTTTGCGACCCAGCAATCACACCAAACATCTCATCACAACATCCCTTAAGCCAATCTGTACAGGTTCGTGCCACGGTATCCGGCTCAAGTAGCACCATTGTAGCCTCAAGCTGATCCCAGTGTTCTCTCCACAACCGTGCCTCCTCATCGGGGTCTGGAATGCCACCAAACAGCTGTGCAGGGGGCGGCGACTCGAGCACTGTCTTGTAGAACATCGGCAAGTCAGTGAGCGCAGGCACAAATAGCTGCCCGACGTGGCCTAGAGTGACCCGAACGATCCCAGCAACATCGCAGAGCACGGAGGTGTAGGAGGACGGATCTGAGGCTAGTACGGTCAGAGCTTGGGAGATCCAGGCGCGGCGAGAGGAGAGGAGGAGGAGGAGCGCCTGGGACGGGGTGAGCGACGGCGCGTCGATCGCGGCTGCAGCCGCGAGTGCGTCGGCGTGGGCCGAGACAGGGAGGCGGCGGTCGGCCAGGCGTTCGCGGGCGCGCTGCGCGATCTGGGGCCGGAACGCCTCCACTAGCTGCGCCTGGTGCGCGAGCAGCGGGAACCGCGCTGCCGCGGCGGCGTCGCGGGAGAGCAGGCGGTGCACGACCTGCGCCTGCATGTACCGCCCCGCGGCCTCCAGGAGCAACCCCTCGTCGAGCCGGCCCCAGATGTGCTCGGGCGTGTCGACGAGGTACTTGGCGCGGGCCGCCGCGGCGTAGAGCCGCGCGCGGCCCCCGGAAGAGGAGGACGAGGCGGCGCTGGCGCTGGCGCTGGGGGCCTCGGCGGGCGGGGAGAGCGACGAGAGGGAGTCGGAGACGCGGGAGAGGTTCTCCGAAATGGCGTCCGAGGACTGCTTGATGAGCAGGATGGAGTCGGCGGAGTCGAGGAGGTCGCGGTAGCTGCGGCCGACGAGCTGCCGGAGCTCCTCCTCCTTGGCGGAGATCTCGCGGCGGGTGGCGGCCTCCACCTCGCGGATCTCGGCGACGCGCTTGGTGCG